ATAGAGCTAGAAACAGAAATAGAGCTAGATATAGAGCTAGAGTTAGAGCTAGAAATAGAAAAAGAAATACAGCTTGAGCTTGAGCTAGAGCTAGGGTTTGAGCTAGAGCTAGAGCTAGAGCAACAGCAACAGCAACAGCAACAGAAATAGAAATGCTACTAGTGATACTGCAATGCAAGTGATACTGCAAGTGAAATTTCAGACAGCACTTTCTGGATATCCAAGTTCTCAACTGCATAAAAGCTGTACTTTCCATCCGAGTGAGAAGTGAACACATCTCCATCTTGCCCAGTTTCTTTGAGAAACTTTTACTTATTTTCCCTTGTCATATTGTAATGTGGCAAAACGAATTCAGAGGCAATTGCACCATCTGAGAAGTCAGTGAACACTTTATCCAATGCTGGAAAAGGATGCTTTGTTTTCCTGTGAATAGCTTCATCCCAATAAGAAGTAAAAATGTCCTCAGGATTCTGCTTCTTTTCTGTGCAATCATAAATATCAACACATGTGTTGCGGAATGCCTTCTCCACACCTACATCCAACTTAGTGTACTTTGAAGCATTTGGGCAGCATACAATGGCAGTTTTGCCATACTTGCTTTGTGGGCTTTGGGGCTCTGGTCCATCTTCATCATGACTGATTCTCTTCAGAGGAATTTGTTGACACCCAGTGTCAAACCCCTCAGGACCCAGGCTTTTATTTGGACAGATTTCCTTGTCTGATCAAACTGGTTACAAGATCTGAGTGAGGATTGAACACATCTCCATCTTGCCCAGTTTCTGTGGGCTTTGGGGCTGCTCTGGTCCATCTTCATCATGACTGGTGATTCTTCTCTTCAGAGGAATTTGTTGACACCCAGTGTGAAACCCCTCAGGACCCAGGCACGGATGTTTGGACAGATTTCCTTGTCTGATCAAACTGGTTACTGGATAGTCAAAGCCACCATTCCCATGATGCTGGTTCAAGAATTCAGCACAAAAGATGGCTACTACTAGTAGTATTGTGGTGGGGACAGAGGAGGGTGCAGATTTGGGTTTCTGTCATAGAGGGTGGTGGTGCTGCTTGTGGTTGCTGATTATTGATTATTGATTGCTGCTTGCAATGGTATTGTTTTCCTTTTGTGCTTGCAATGAAGAGGGAGGGGAGGGGACTGTTGCATCGTCCCAGAAGANGCTCTGGTCCATCTTCATCATGACTGATTCTTCTCTTCAGAGGAATTTGTTGACACCCAGTGTCAAACCCCTCAGGACCTAGGCGCGGATGTTTGGACAGATTTCCTTGTCTGATCAAACTGGTTACAGGATCTGAGTGAGGATTGAACACATCTCCATCTTGCCCAGTTTCTGTGGGCTTTGGGGCTGCTCTGGTCCATCTTCATCATGACTGATTCTTCTCTTCAGAGGAATTTGTTGACACCCAGTGTCAAACCCCTCAGGACCCAGGCTTGGATATTTGGACACGTCTCCTTGTCTGATCAAAATGGTTACTGGATAGTCAAAGCCACCATTCCCATGATGCTGGTTCAAGAATTCGGCACAAAAGATGGCTAGTACTAGTATTGTGGTGGCGACGGAGGAGGGTGCAGATTTGGGTTTCTGTCATACTAGAGGGTGGTGGTGCTGCTTGTGGTTGCTGATTATTGAATATTGATTGCTGCTTGCAAGGGTATTGTTTTCCTTTCGTGCTTGTAATGAAGAGGGAGGGGAGGGGACTGTTGCATCGTTCCAGAAGAAGAAGATGCCGAGTTGTGGTGGGATGAAGAGGTGTTGATTTTGCAGAGGAAGAGGAAGGAAAGTTGTTTTTTTTTGCTTAGTACAAACAAGAATTATTTTCAAATTGAGCTATGGAAGAATCTACACAAATTACTGGTATCATGATGTTATCAGATCTGAAAAGGATCAATAACCTCTACACACGAATAAGTACAATATATATATATATTAGGGGTCAGGTTTTTATTGAACACTGATTCCTACTTCTACTACTCTAATACAGTGCCTTCGACTTCCACTGCCACCGAAGCAGACCAATCGTATCGTGTTGTCTGTTTTCTAATTTTACGAATTCCGATCCTTTTTGTTGGACGGATTTCGATTACTTATGGTTCGACCGAGATCCTGTTCCGACTTCCAAAACAATACGAATAAGCATCGACCAACGAGGTTTTTCGAGTGAATAAATACGAGTACTTGTACCTGGTAACGCATGGTGAGGTGCGTGGTGTTTCTGGAACAAGAGGTGTAACGATGTATTTTCTTACGAATAGACGGCAAAGTAGCTTCCGCTGGAGGTTTCGCTTAACAAGCACGAAGCAGAAGCTGCTACTACTGGTACTTACAGTATTGTTGATTGTTGTTTGTTGTTTGCTCTCTTTTCCTTTGCTTCCTTCTGGCACATAGTGCTACATTGAATTGAAAAAGGATATCGAATACGGATATCGAATACGGATATCGAATACGGATATCGAATACGGATATCGAATTCGGATATCGACGTATGGGTCAATATCGTTCTGGCTTGACGCATCTATATCCTTCCTTCTATTCAGCCCACCCATTGCCCTATCCCTATCGAATCACATCGATCGATTCAATCAAGAAAGGATTCGGCAACAAAATCCGTGACCACCGCAAACCGGAAAGCAACATAATCATTGACAGAGGAAAAAGATACTGCTAGTGCAAGTTCCAGTTCACGTACAACGAAAACAAGCCTTATGCAGCGCCAACCCCAGCGCCAGCTTCAGCGGGAACCCAGCGACGCGATGGAACTGCCACAGAGAGGCTTGTACGAACAGGCACAGAGCAAAACCCTTTTGTTCTCAGCAATGACTTCCAACAAGCTGAAACGTACCGATGGTAGCACAGCAACCTTTGAGGGTTTGTACCGATGCACACTCGGGTCGCCCCCCGAGGAGGATTTGTTCGACGACAATACACACTACGGAGAAGACGAAGAGATCTGCAACGAGGCCACCTTGGTGGGCGTTGGAAGAAACTTTGTCGGTGACCCTCACCCAGGAATGAGACTGAGGAATCTCCAGTTCGATCTKGCCTCGCTGCGACAAYMTCCAACGGAYGACAATGCGGGCGAGACCATCGCCGGCGACGACGACAGCTTTTTGTACGCCAATTACGTCGAAAAGAACGAAGAAGATTCGAAAAAGCAAGCGTGGGAGATTGTCCGGGCAAAGCTCCCAGATGCCGAGAGCGACGACGACAACGGCGCCGTGGGTCACGATGGTTCCCTGACCTTCCAATCTGTCTTCAAGACCAGGTATGYTAGCGATTGGAACGAATGCGACTTTGATTGCTGCACCAAAGCCGATTACGAAGCCGCCGGTATGCTGGAGTACGCGAAGAACTTTGACGACAACTACGAGTTCAGACATTCCTACGTTCGCGGCGTCCCCCGGKCTTTYGTGGTGGACCAACACACCGGAGACATCTTTGTCTCGTGGGAAGGTTTCTATAAGGACTGCGAGGACGTTCATTCGGCCAGGAATGGACTCCAGTGGACGATCGGAATTTCCAGGCTCAAGACGGAAGACCCAAGCTGCATGGCTCTGGACTTGAATCGAGCCAAAGAACAATACAGGGATTTCGGGACCTTTGCCCGCTGCACCGTCCCCGTGTCGATCGTRTACCAGAGCACCCGTGCCCGGGAATCAGTCTTGCCCTACGGAGGCCTTGCCGTCGTTCCGGCCTCCATGACGGGGACGGGGCACCGGACSTTTCTGATGACGGTTCTGTACAATCCCGGGAACGAACTCGGTGGCATGACGGCGAGGGTCTGGGCCTTTCCGGAGGGCGCGAGTTCCACGAGGGACGGCTTGAAGCGGCAGGACCTTGTGAGCGAGGGRACGAGAGTGGACGGTCTYTTCTACGACGCGGGCATCTACGACGCTGGGAGCCTACGATTGAACTACAATCCCGAGAAAGGAAGRCCGGATTGGTTGTGCCGGACCGTCTTCGATGCGGGCATCGACTGTTTCCCCATTGACTTTTCCGTCGACGAGAATAATGGCTTTCCGATCGTATCATCGACGACCTCCGAAACAGAGGTCTTTCTGACTGGGGAACASACCGCAAGCTTTTGCCACCTTGATATAGCTGATCGTGTCCGAAGCGATCCCTATTTCAAACGGGATTCGCTCCTCGCCACCGGGCTGGACGTCCAGTGGGATCCGGTTGCAACGAGACCCCACCGGATCTTTTTCGGCTGCGCCAGCAGAGTTGGGGGTAACGGTCACTTTGGAAGCGTCCAGTCCGGTGGAAGCAATCTCAAGACCGTTCTGGAGTATGGGTACGCGACTGCGGTCCTGTTTTTGCCGAGCGAGCTGGAGGGGTCCCTCGAAGCGAGGGCTAYTGCTTCGTCCTACTACGGAGCCGATGGTGGCGATGCCTCGACCGGCTTGTTGCCGTGGTGGTGCTTCGCCGGCGGAGTTCTTCTCCTGTTCCTYGCCGTGGCCTACAAACMCAGGAACCGGAAGCAGCGGTTTTCGTCCCCGGGTGCCCTCCGGAAAGAAACAGGGTTCTTGACACCTTACGTCGAGCTGCATACYATGAACAAAGACCATTGCAATAACGACGGCAGCAACATCATTGGTCCTTTGACGGAAGCAACCACGACGATGAACAACGACGATAATTACAAGGAAGAGGAAATAGCTATCATATAATATGCAGAGAGAAAATTTTTCTGAAAATGCATGACATCATACTCGCGGTACGGGGTTGCACAGTTTCAGCTAGACTTCCGTGGCAAAAATATACTTCATGTAATAACGTTAAGTAGCAATAGATTTTGGCGGCTTGTTGGAAAACATGCTTCATCGAAGATCGTCCCGATGTAGTTCCCTTCTCGACAAAACCTCACACTCGCCGACTTYGACGAGACGTGCTTGGTGTTCTGATTCATCACGCACGCCAAGTGACCGTTGCAATCGGCAATGAAAGTATTTTCCTCATTCTGACAGGAGAGAATCCGCACGACACGAGAACGAAAATGGRAGTGCCTAAAGGAAAGGGCSCAAATKGTTGTCGGCGATTGCAATCCTACGCTATATCGAAAACAAGGAACCATCTCTTCATTAGAAGAAAGTCGTCCACCGGAATAGACCTTTGCGCTGTTGGCACACCGCATSTGTGCGGGCAGTCGTCAATGCTGGCTCTGGCGTAGGGTGTTCTTGCCTGTCATGCTGACTTCTCGATCGAGACCGAAGGAGCAGAGGAGGGTACTAACGTGGCCAAAGAGCGTGGTGGGCAGTGGATCAAGACGYTGCATTTTTGTTCGAAAACGAAACAAGTTGCACAGAGTATGCGAGAAAATCGTATAACGTACAACGTCATAAACAACAASAASAASAAGAASAAGAACAACAGAATAACGTTCGAAGAATAACTGCAATACTAGTACCAATGCGGTGTTCGCCCTTCTAACTGTTGATTGTTTAGCACGATTCGAACAAATGATATATCAACGATGCTGTACCAGTAGTACAATCGGTTCYAGGGGTRCTMATGATTAACGCGATCGGCACGTTGACGATTTGAAAAATATTGTGGTAATGCATAAAATTCAAACACTGAAGAAAATTCTATTAAGATACATTTTCGTACAGTACTACTCAAATGTTCCTTACCTTATCACTACTGATTATTTTTTACGACAAGATACCACCCGAGTCTATAGATTTTACTGGTGAATGATAATTTTATGGCTTCCATCTCTACCTGTACATTCTTTCGAACAGAAATTGCTATTTCGGGACTGTTCTTTTAATCGTTAATTTGGGTTAGGGCTAGGGTTGGTTTACTATTTTTCAATGGTATGATAATCAAGGCTGGGGTTGGTTTACTATCTTTCAATGGTATGATTATAAAGCTATTATATTGAAGTGAGATTTTTTATCTTTCAATGGTAAGATAATACGTGTTTAAGCGAATTTTTTTCTGAAATTTCTTTCCAGCTATATGAAAATGTACTTTTAAGTATCAAGTGAAGAATGTGAATTTTGGAAATGACATTTTTTCTTCTTCTTTTTCCGAACCTGAAAATGACGCTTTTCTACTTTTCCGAACCTGCATGCACAAAAATATTCAATATTCAACGGTACGAGTAGGGTACTCGTACTTTTATCGCCTCCGTGACACCAAGCTGCATTTGGTTTTTCGGAAGTGATGTTGCGGACTAACCGATGCTCCGAATTAAGTTGTGCTCTTACACCACGTGCTTCCTAGAATTTCTCTGAAGCGACATTATTCGGAAAGGAATCAAATCGAACTCCAACGCTCGCAATAAAATCGATGCCTCAAGGCGACAAAAATAGAGGTAATTTTTCTTCTTCGAAATACAACACCGCACCTTACAGGAAGCCTGCTCGAAATTCTATCCCATCCCATCCCATCCTATCGTCACACAAACCGGATCTATGGTACTGCGCGTTTCACGCGGTTGACACCATCGAAGTTTCAGGGTCAACCCTTAGTCTTTNCTGGCTCTGGCGTAGGGTGTTCTTGCCTGTCATGCTGACTTCTCGATCGAGACCGAAGGAGCAGAGGAGGGTACTAACGTGGCCAAAGAGCGTGGTGGGCAGTGGATCAAGACGTTGCATTTTTGTTCGAAAACGAAACAAGTTGCACAGAGTATGCGAGAAAATCGTATAACGTACAACGTCATAAACAACAACAAGAAGAAGAACAAGAACAACAGAATAACGTTCGAAGAATAACTGCAATACTAGTACCAATGCGGTGTTCGCCCTTCTAACTGTTGATTGTTTAGCGCGATTCGAACTAGTGATATATCAACGATGCTGTACCAGTAGTACAATCGGTTCCAGGGGTGCTAATGATTAACGCGATCGGCACGTTGACGATTTGAAAAATATTGTGGTAATGCATAAAATTCAAACACTGAAGAAAATTCTATTAAGATACATTTTCGTACTACTCAAATGTTCCTTACCTTATCACTACTGATTATTTTTTACGACAAGATACCACCCGAGCATAGATTTTACTAATTTTATGGCTTCCATCTCTACCTGTACATTCTTTCGAACAGAAATTGCTATTTCGGGACTGTTCTTTTAATCGTTAATTTGGGTTAGGGCTAGGGTTGGTTTACTATCTTTCAATGGTATGATACTAAAGCTATCATACTGTATGAAAGTGAGACTATGTTTTAATGGTACGACACGTGTTTAAGCGAATTTTTTTCCAAAATTTCTTTCCAGCTATATGAAAGAAGAATGTGAACTTTGGAAATGACATTTTTTCTTCTTCTTTTTCCGAACCTGAAAATGACGCTTTTCTACTTTTCCGAACCTGCATGCACAAAAATATTCAATATTCAACGGTAAACAGGTACGAGTACTCGTACTTTTATCGCCTCCGTGATAAGTGATGTTGCGGACTAACCGATGCTCCGAATTAAGTTGTGCTCTTACACCAAGTGCTTCCTCGAATTTCTCTGAAGCGACATTATTCGGAAAGGAATCAAATCGAACTCCAACGCTCGCAATAAAATCGATGCCTAAAGGCGACAAAAATAGAGGTAATTTTTCTTCTGCGAAATACAACACCGCACCTTACAGGAAGCCTGCTCGAAATTCTATCCCATCCCATCCTATCCTGTCGTACTAAAATACTATACCATCCTATTCTCTTCTACTCCGATCCATTTCATTTCATTGATTTCATTTCATTGCATCCCATCCAAACGATCAATAGCATGTTGCCGATCGTAAACCAACAATCCAATCGGTCCGTTCAAGCCATTACAGTTGGATTTGATGGCGTGGTTCGACCTGCTGGAAACAGCAACAGAAATATCGACAGTACCAGAAGCATCGACAGCACCAGCACCAGAAGCACCGTGAGTGACAGCAACAGAACCGGCCGCAGCAACACCCATAGTAGCAACATTTACGGCAGACACAGCACCACCAACAACGGCAATAACACTACCATTACCACCAACAACAACGGCAATAACACTACCATTACCACCACCACCAACAACAGAGGCGATGGGGTCGCTACCCTTGGTTCCGAAGTCGACTACGAGTACAACCAATACAACCAATCAGTTGGCAACACTGACCGCAAAAACAACATGGTGTCGTTTTCGGATGCCCCAGCAGCTGCAACCGCTTATGGTTACAACAACCAATTCAACGACAGCAACCGAAACCTCCAAGGCAGCGGACAAAGAAGCGACAGCTTCCACACGCCCTTCCGTCGGCGCTCCTCCCTGAGCGCGAACGAAAGGCAGAGACTCGATAAGCTGCACGAGAATAATCCCTTGGAATTTAAAAACTGGGGTGGGAGAAAGTCCATAACCCGCCAGGCCAGCATCTGGAGGATAGTCAAGGAGAAGGCCCCCCAGCTCGAGGAGTCCAATCGGAAGTTTGACTCGGACGCGGGCTCGAAGCTCTCAATGAAGGTCGAGGAAGAGGGTAAGATGCCAAAGCCCCCCGGTTTCTGGACGCGTGTCATTCGCTTCTTCATAAAAGACAGTACCTACGAGGGGCTAATCAAGAACGACCAGCTCCGGGAGCGCATCGCGGAACAATGCGAAGAACCATTCTACCGTATCCTCTTCCACTTTCGGGGGACCGTTCTGAAGGTGATTGCGACCGATGTTTTGTTCTGGRGCACAATTGCTGTAAGTGCGAAGTGACCTTGTGCTGCGCGGCGTTCTGCATTCTTTTGCTGATTCGATTAGAACGTTGTCCTTTCTCTTTTTGGACTCGATTTTTCGATTCAACTCAACTCAGCTCAAATCAAATCATCTCATCTCAACTCAACACAACCCAACTCAACTCACACGATGGGAAATGGTTTTGTTTCCTTCCTCTTTTCTTTGTGGCTCTCATTCTTCATCTCTATAGATATTTATTGGTAATCGTTGGTACATTCATTTCAAATCCATCCAAGAAAGTATTGAAATTTATGAGAACCTAGCTTCAAATCTTGTCTATGTTGGTGGTTTCATGACCTTCTTTTTGGTCTTTTATGTGAATCAAAACCACGCCCGTTATTTTGAACTGCACAAGGAGGCAATGGTGTTRATGGGGCGTGTCAACGACGTGGCAACAATGTCAAAGGCTTGCATGCCCATCGAACGGGCTCGTCGGATTGTCCGCTACATGAATATAGCCCACATCTGCACCTACACGGGGCTGTCGGGATACTACAGCAGGGYCAATCTTCTTGATCCTTTGGACCASCGGTTTGCCCTAMTGACCGATGCTGAGTACCASCGCATCACGRTCGACATCAATGCCGATTGCGGGCCACAGGCGGTTTTTGAGGTCCTGGCGTGGGCAATGATGGATATTCGCGAAGCAAAGGACCATGGGTGTATCGATCCCATGGAGGCAAAGCAGCTGCGGGATCAGGTCCTGAAGTTCCGGAGCACCGTTGCAAAAATCTTCGTCACCTGCACGCTGCCGATTCCCTTCTTTTAYATCCATTTCCTATCGCTGCTAACTGTGTGCTATCTACCCCTCTTTGCCATTGTGGTTGCCYATGAAACAGGGGACTTCAATGCAAGCTGGCAACATGAGRTACTCTCGTTGYTGGTGGTGGCCCTRCAGGCCCTGTTCACRATCGGTCTGAGGTCGCTGGGTCAGAAGCTGAGCGATCCTTTYGGGAGCGACACGATCGATTTGCAGGTGGYGCGGTACSTTKTGATGATTGTGAAAGGGTCRAACCAGATCCTTAGCGCCACTAAGGTGCCAGGGGTCTCAARGATCGTGGAACGAAAGCTCAAGGAAGACATGACCTYCMTTGGAAAGGCMTACGAGCGTACCGAAGACGAGGAAGGAAACATCTGTTTGTAACCAAAGGGAGAATGGAATTCAACCACAGTCCAATTATATGATATTTCACACACGGTGTTGATACAGTTTCACGAGCTTACTCKTTGTGGAGTGGTAGTATTCAATACTCATGACACGATAGTTTGATCTTCGAACTAAAACTGCACGGCACCTCTTTTAAGTAATGATTACTTGTATATAAAAATAATGTTTCAGGTTTTGATGTTTCTGCCGTCGATACAACGTACGAAGCACCTTGCATACCTTCTTCATTGCAAACGGTTGTCCTCCTTGACTTGTTCATGTTGCGTGTGTCACGCAGAGTTTGCAATTCGTTTTTACAATCTTGTCACATCATATTTTTTGTTGGATAGCTTTCGAAAGTATGGTTCTTCGGTCCGAGCAATCTAGTATTTTCACCCTAACCCCAACTCGAATGCTATTTTACCTCTGATGCATTGTGATCATGATCCTGTAGAACTCGCACCTTTTTCTCCCGTGTAGACACTACAGACTTCACACGAAAGCCAACACACCATGGAGCAGTACCATTCTCATACTCTGGGTCTGGGTCGATTCCTGCCTCGTCCGGCACCGTGTATTTCGTATGTCKTGTTGGTCTTCAACTGCAACTTGGTCTGACCGTACAGAACCAAGCCAAAGTTGAGTCGAATCGAATCGAATCGAATCAAACGAAAATCAAATCGAAGCAAACAATGTGAAATCAATTCGAAGAGAGAAGAGCATAGCAGACCATAAATAAACCGAGCCGGAATCTAGGAAAGCGCCCCCCCCTACTCGCTGCTGCTCTTCTTTTTCGTCTTCTTTTTCTTCTTGTCCTTTTTGGATTTCTTGGAGCTGGCAATCCCCGTGCTTTTGTTCCTGCTGTCGTCATTGTCGTCGCCATCGCTTTTCTTGCTCTTGCTCTTTTTCTTGCTCCTTGGCTTTTCACCCTTCTTGCGCTCGTCGTTGACGCCGGTGGTTTTTGTTTTTCGCTTTTTCCGCTTGGGAGAACCGTCCGGGTCGTCGCTGTCCTCCCTCGGGCTCGTCTCTGGCGAWTCCTGCCCTTCGTGGTCCCTGGACGACAGGAGGATCTTCGGGGCCGCCATTCCGTCCCACTCCGTCTTTTTTCTGGCCTCGGCCTCCTCGCCCTCCGTGATTCCCGCCTCGGCCCGGTTCCACTTGGCCGCCTGCCTCGTCTGGGCCCTCATCCCGAAGCGGGCCCCGCCCGTGGCCGCAAAGAGCTCCTCGTCGGTGAAGGTCCGCTTCCGTTTCTTTGGTTCGTCGCTCTTCTTGTCCTTCTTGTCCTTTTTGCTCTTCTTCTTGCGCTTCTTCTTGCCCGCCTCCGCCAGCCTCGCCAGCGTGTCCCCGACCGAGGACYTCCACCACTGGTCCCCCGTGACGGTTGGATCGATGGCCGCCGCASCCGACGACTTGGCTCCCAGGGCCTCCTGGTCCCCCCGCTTGGTGACCCGAATGTGCTCGGCCCTGCCCGTCCGGTTCTTTCCCAGGCCCGTCCCCTCGGTCCACCCGAGCTTCTCGAGCTGCTTCCGSGCAAAGTCGCTCGGGCCGGTGGCGACGGACTCGTTGAGGACCGCGCCCATCTTGGCCTTGTGCTTGCGGCCGCAGAGGTGGAGGAGGGAGGTTGCCGTTTCGTTGTTCTTGCTGCTGCTCATCCTGCCGTGTCGTCTCGTCTCGTGTCGTCTCGTGTCGTTTCTTGGCAACGGCGGTGGTGGTTCTGTGGTGCGTGTTCTGCCGAGTTCGGTGGTCTGCGGAATTTGAGCCTTCTATCGCAGTGGTTGCCTTCGGTAGTGGTGC